CCCCCCCCCCATTCCGGGCTGGCCAGAGCGGCGGCTGAAAAAGATGCCCTCGTACCCGCAGGGGGCACCAAGGGGAGCCGGGCCCACCGCGCCAATGTTGTTATTGGCCTAGCTTGTGCTTTGGCTTGCCATCGTCTGCCCTGGCGGCTCTCCTTGTGTCCTGCTTCGAGGGCTGGGGCCGGGCGCTTGGCGCCAGCTGCGATCTCCGGCTCCCCCCCCCTCCCCCGGCGGCGGCGGACTCGGGCAACCGCCCGCGCCTCCGCCCCGGTACGCACGCGAGAATATTGCCTGATTTTGGCCCGACACCCGGCCCCGTTGTAGTCACACACCCATTGGCCGCTCCAACGGAACCGGGGGCCGGAGTGGGGGGGGGGGGGGGGGGACGAAGGGAACCCCACGCATCCGGGCCGGGGCATTTCCGGGGCCAGGTGGTTCGGCCCACATTTTCATACGCCTCTCCGGCTCCCCCACCCGGTGTCTGCCCATCCAGAATGCCCGCGGAGGCCGTTGCTTCCCGGAGGTCTGCCGTCCGCACCCCCCCCCCCCCCCCCAAGCGCAGGCCCCGACTTGGCTCTCCACGACCCAAGGCCCAGCCACATGGGAGCGACCCCACCGGCACGCGGGGAGCTGATCACTCCATGTGGTCATATGATCACACACAACTCCCCACCCCAGGCCCCGATGCAGCACTCCCGCGCGCGCGTTATGCGTCCAGGGCCGCTTCCCGCGCTCTTTGTCCGCGTCTCTCCCTGTCCCGTTCTGTCTCGATGCCTGTGTGTGCGTGTGTCCTCTCTCTCTCCCACTCTCTCTCTCTCTCTCTCTCTCACTCCCTCTCGCTCTCTCTTTCCGAAGGGGAAGCCACGCAGCAGGAGGGGGCGTGTCCAGACCCTGGGAGTCTTGGCGTTTCCGGGCCGGGAGGGGGGGGGGTGAAAAAACAGTGCCGCGCCCATCCCCGCGGCCTCCACCCTTTTTATGCTCGGGAGTAGTAATAACAAGTCTTGCAGCGCAACTGACGCCTGGAGATCGCGGCGGATCTTCGACCCCCGGGCCCGGGGGCCCTCCTGTCTTCTCTTGCCATTGTTTCTTGCTCACTTGTCTCTCTCCCGCCCCCCCCCCCCCTCGAGATTTCTCGGAGCCCACCCGGGGCGGCTATCTTGAGGGCCAGCGATTGCCCCACCCTCCCTGGTCTTTTTCCTCTTGCCCCCCTCCTGCCACTTTCTCACAAGGCAGGGGATGTTCCGTTGCCGTCACTAGCCCACATTCAGGCACGTCGGCCAGCCCCACTGTCGTCGCATGCTTATTTGTACGTTATAGTGCCGGGCTTGCCGTTTGGGGGGGGGGGGGGGCACAGATTTCCCCCGAGCGCCGAAAGGGGACGCACATGGAGAGCACAGACAGAGGGGAATGATTTTCTTGCTATATTTGGTGCAGTTGCCATGTTGCCAGGCAGCACGAACGGCCGCGCGCGCCAATGGCCAGTGAGGGGGAGAGGACAAGCCGCAGTATGTGCAACGATCGGAGGAAGCGCGAGCGAGCCAAAGAGAGGGAGAAAGAAAGACACAAAGAAAGACAGGAGGGGGGGGGGAGGGGAGGGGAGGCGCGGAGAGGGTGGGAGAGGGTGACATAGTGCACTGACACGCCCATACCCCCGCGTGTCCACACAGGGGGGGCCGATTTCCCGGAGACAATGGGCACCATGAAAGGGCAGGAGGTCAGGGAAGAGGGGAGGAAGGAGAGTGCCCGACACGGGTGGGGATTACTCGCTGCCCCCGGTGGGGGTGGCGGCGGTGGCCGACATCGACACACCGGCACCAGTCACCGAGTGATGGTGCGGGGCACGCGGCCGAGCACCGGGGTGCCGGGGCCCCGGACGCCCGGACGCCATTCCCCCCTGTGGCACGCCGTCCGCCTGGTAGGCCAGGCCATAGGCCGCCTGCGGGGCGAGGGGCATTCCCCCGCCGGCCGGGAACCCGGCTCCCGGCATGGTGCCATGATAGGCGTTGCCCTGGGCGCCGCGAGGATGCTGCAGAATGTGCGGCGCCGGGGGGCGCGGGGCCCCGGCATTGCGAGGCTGCCCGCCGGCGGCGGGGAACTTGCTCAGCGGCCGCTGCTGGCAGGGGACATAGCTGCTGTGCTCGGCACAGTAGAGGCAAAGGCCGGCCTTGATGCGACGCTCGCGCTCCTCCGCCGACAGGGGGCCACGGTGACGGCGCTGGCCCGATTGCTGCGAAGAGGCGGGCGCCAGGGCAGCCGGCGACTGGCCGGCCGGCTGCATGGACGGATCCGACACGGCCACCTGGGCGCCGGCCGCCCCGGAGGCCGTCAGCGACACGGCCGTCGGGGCCGACATCGGGTCCAGGCCGTTTTGCACGTGGGCCGGCCGCGTCGGACAGGGAGCACTGCTCGGGTGCACGCCGCAGTAGGAGCACAGTCCGGAGGCGGTCCGGCGGTTGCGCTCCTCCTGAGTGAGGGAATACCGGCCGGTGGTCAGATCCAGGACTCGGCCCATGCGCAGCATCTGCATGCACTGGACATTGTTCGGGTGACCGCCGCAAATCATGCACAGCCGGTTGAGAGCCCGATCGCGCTGCTGCCGGGCATGGTCCTGCAGCGAGGGGGGCCGGAAGGCCTGAAGTGGAGGGACGCCCCGGCGAACGAGGCGCATGCAGGGAAGCGTGGCGCTGTGCTTTCCGCAGTACATGCACTGGCCCTTTTGCATGCGGGCGGCGCGCATGTCGTCGGTCAGCGGCCCGATCGACCCGTCGGCCGAGGGGGAGGACTCATCGTCAGACTGGTCGTCGATGGCCGGGCTGCCAGCCGTCAGGGCGGTCTGGTCGAAGGCCGCGTGGGGGGAAGAGCCGGCCAGGGGCTCGGTGCCGGCATCGCCGGGGGACTCGAGGTAGGCTTGCATGGCAGGCGGAAGCAGGGCGGAGGGGGCCGAAGGAGGAGAAGAGGGGAGGAAAGAGAGGGGAAAAGGAGGAGGATGGAGGGATATGGGGGAGGGGGGGGGGAGGATGGGGATGGGGAGAGGGGGAGGGCGGGTGTGACGTGCAGGACGTCGTGGGTCTGCGAAGGGGTCACACGCAGAGGAGTGGAGCGGGGAGGGAGGGAAAGGGAAGAGAGAAGGGGAGGTGGAGACCGGGTGTCCCTGAAGGCCTGTGTCACAGGATGGCCAGGCAGGTGGGTGTCAACCTGAGCCCTCAAAAGCTCGGGGCCCGTGAGCCGGCCAGGGGAATCAACCCTGGGAGGGGTGTGAGGGTGTGCGTGAGGCGCCGAGACCTGCGGCCCGGCCGAGCGACGTCCCGTAACATGATGTGCGTCGAGCCGACAAGGGGGGGGGGGGGGGGGGGCGGGGGCGCCGAGGCGGGGCTGGGCCCCAGGCAGCGGGTTGGACCGGAGAGACCCCCTGCACGGACATCGGGCTGTGCACGGCTATGGCGGCGGATCGTCGGGAGCATCGTCCATCCGGAGGGGGGGCGGGGGGGACAAGAGTGACGCGTCGCTCGGCCGAACTAGGCAAGATGGCGGCCAACTGGCGCCCGCCCGGCAGTGCCGTGCGCCCCCGCCCAGCGAGAGCGCTTTGGTGTGGGAAATGGTCCGCACCCAGGGTGTATGCCTGTGTGCCAAGGGCTCTCGGCCTGCGACTGGTTGAACCGCTGGGCTTCCCGCGAAATGAGTGCGCGTGTTTTGGGAGGCCCAGCCATTCACATGCCGCCGGCCTCGGAGACGGGGGCGGCGAGGGCTGTCTCCTGCCAACCAGGGTGCGGGAGGCCGGGCCGCCCGGGGGTCCTTCGCCCGCCCGTCCCCCCCCCCCCCGGCGAGCCTCTGGGTCGGCAACACCTCTCACTAACGGGGAGCCTGGCGCCAACAGCCCGGCGCGGGGGAAGGCCGGGACGGGGGAGATCGGCTCGCCCTTTCGAGGGCCAGAAGCTTGACTGGCCAGCGGGGGGGGGGGGGCGGGGGGCGGGAGCGAGGCGGGCGTGGTAGATGTCCATACGCCCCGGCCCTGGGGGCGGACGGGTGGTTGAGGTCTGTCTCAAACGTCGGTGTACGCGGCGCGCGTGCTCGCCTCCGGGCGACCCTTCACTCGGGCGATCCGCCACAGTGCGGCCCGGGTTCCGCCCCCCCCCCCCCGGAGGGCGTGTGTGCGAGAGAACGGGCCAGCGGGCACTGGGAAAATGATCCGGCGCCCAAGCAAGCTGCCGGGTGTGAGAAAAAAGCCATTCTTCTCCCAGCGCCAGCCAGACAAAGGACCGACCAAGGGCCGGCGGACGGCTGCAAAGGGGGGGGGGGCCGGACCCGGGGGAAGCGGATCGCGCGGGATCTCTCCCTGGTCCGCCCCCCGGCGGCATGTGCCGGGCGCCCTGTGGGTCTCCCAGGCGAGGGTGGGACCGGACCGGCCGGACACCCCCGCCCGCCCGCGGCCAGGTCATGTCTTGTGCTGTGCCTCCGCGGGCCCGGGGGGGGGGGGGGGGCACGCCGTCGGGAGGGCGCCACCCCAGCTCCGCAAGGCCGGCCGCTCTGGAGGCTTGATCTGGGACCAACTGGCGCAAAGGTCATGGGCCTTTCAGCCCCAGGGCGGCGGGGATCCGCGGTAACGGTTTGCGGGGCACTCGGAGGGTCTTCCTCGCTCCGCTGCCGCCCTCCCCGAAGGTCCACACCCGGGCCCGGGGTGCTCTAGGGCGCGCGCGCACGCGCGCCCGGCCAGATGGGGCCGGTCCTCGGAAGTATGGGAAGCCCCGGACTCGGCTGTGGTGGGGAAAACAAATGAATAAAAATACGTGGCAGACAGGAGGACAGCGCCCGTCGCCCTCCGGGGGCAGGCCCTTTCGGCGGGCTTCTCCCCGCGTGACTCGGCCCCCGGCGCCACCCCCACCCGCTCGGGCCGCTTCCCCGTCCCCTCTCCCAGGCACAGGGGGGAGGGGGGGGGATCCATTGCGCGTGTGGGCTTCCTTGCGCCATCATGCAAGCCGGCCCCCATGTTGAGGCGCCGACCAGTTTGTTGAGGCGCCGGCCAGCTTGTTGCTTCCGGGTGCGGCTTCCCCGGGGCCGCAAGCGGGCCGCCTCGGGGGACATTCGCCTTCAGGGACGACCAGGCCCCCTGTCTTTCTCGGCTTCTCTTCCGACGCATCCGCCGTGCTTCCGGGAGAGGGGGGCCCTCCCCGGGAGCGGGCGTGCACGCGCGCGCGAGCAGACATGCGCACACGCGCTTCCCCGCCAACCGCCTGGTCTGAGGCTGCAGGGGGCACTGCCCTTCTTGCCGCCTGCCCCCCCCCCCCCCTCCCCCCCGTTCCACCCTCTGGGGTCGGCTCTGGCAGCCTTCCGGCCTGGGAGACCTTTCCCAGATCTCCCCCCCCTCCCCACCCCGGTTTCTTCCTTCCAGAGTCTGCGAGCCAGGCCCAAGGGCGCCCAGAATTTCAACGTGCTGGGTGGACCCCCGCCCAACCAAGAGCGGGGGAGGGGGCGGGGCGGACATGCCCGGGGAGCCGCCCCGAGACGGGAAACGCACAGAGCAGGCCGAGCCAGCAACGGTGATCGGGGCGCATGCACCGCGCCCCGCACACATATGGTCACGCGACCTGCGTGGCAACGGCCACGGCCTCTTTCCTCCCCGATCCCTCATCTCCCGGCCGGTGGCGACCAAAATGCCGCTCTCACCCCTCGGCCCGACGGTCCTGCCCTCGCCCGCGCCATTGGGAGCATCTTCCCCACTTGGCATGACCCTCGCGCCTCCCTGTACCACACACACAAACACCCCCGGCGGCAGCGCGACAGGGATAGACAGGCGTGCGCGCACGCGGCCTGCAACACACCAGAGACATGATTGTGCTTATATTTTACATCTCTGTGTAGGAGGGGAAGTGTTTCCTCCTCCCCCCTCTCCCCCGGCCAAACACACAACAGGGCGTGCGATGGAGGCCCCTTGCGGAAAGAGGACGGACAGGGGGAGGAGAGAGGGGAAGAGAAGAAGAGCGAGGGTGAGACACACACGCACACCCACCCACCCGAACAGGGGGGGGGGGGGAGAAGGGCGGCTCGTGCCACACTCAGTTATGGCCCCAGAGAGCGGTCTCCGGCGAGGCGCCAGCGCGGGGCTGGCCGCCGACAGCAGTGCGGATGGCCTTGCCCAGGCCACCCAGGTCCAGCGGCCCGGCCAGCAGGCGCTCCGTGATGGAGGCCAAATCCAGGCCGAGATAGTTCCGGACAAAGAGGCCAACATCGGTGTTCTCGCGGTTGCCGGCCAGATCGCGCATGATGTCGCGCGCCGTGGCGGCATGGCTGCCACCATACGCATAAAGATTGACATCGGCCGCGGTATGGCCATGCGTGGTCCAGCCAAGCTCCGCACGGACGGAGATCACCTCCCCCAGGGCAACCATCATGGCAGCCTGGTTGGCGGCCTGGCCGCCGAGCGCCAGGGTGGTCAGGTTGTCCAGCTCGGCCATGGTAAGGTCACTGACGCCCTGGTAGTTCTCGATGGTGGTCAGGACATAGGTGCGCATCTCGATCTCCGAGGGCGGGGCATCCGACCCAGACCCAGCGGCATAGGCAAAGAGGTCGGCCGCCACGAAGAAGGTCGACCGAGACACCCGAGCAATGACCTCCGGGTACCAGATGTACTCCGGATACTCCGGGGTCAGCTGCCGGCCGCCGGACAGGCCGCCGGTCTCATGGTCGGACACCGAAATGACCACGGTGCCCGGATGCTCATCGACGAACTTCTTCACCATGGCCACCACCTCGTTGTACATGATCAGGTCATAGATGTGCGCGGCCGGGTCATTGTCATGGGCGGCATGGTCAATGCGCGAGCCCTCGATCATCAGGAAGAAGGGGGTCCGGTGGTCGCGCAGCTCTCCACCAAGGACATCCAGCGCGTAGGCGGCCATGTCAGCCAGCGAGGGCTGGTCCGTGGTGGGCCGGTCCACCTCATAAGCCATGTCGCTGGTGGAGAAGAGCCCGAGCACCGGCAGGGAGCTGGCATCACGCGGGAGAGCCGCCAGCTCGGCCGCCGACTGGACCACCGTGGCGTTGAAGATCTCGGCCGCCTCGATGCGGAGGTCACGGTCGTCCGTGCGCACGGAGCCGGGCACATCGCGCGGGATGAAGTGACGACGGCCACCACCGAGCACCAGATCGGCCATGAACTTGAGCGGGGTCGCGCCGGCGACCTGGTGCTCGGCAATCAGGTTTTCCGAATCGCGATGGGCCACATGCGCCGTGAAGGCGGCCGGAGTGGCGTGCGTCACGCGCGAGGTGACCACCACGCCGGTACGATAGCCAAGGACATGGGCCGCCTCGAGCAGGGTGCCACAGGGGCGGATCTCATCGGTGACAGCCACCGCGCCGTTGTAGGACTTCTGCACGCAGGAGAAGGCCGTGGCACCGGCGGCCGAATCGGTCACCAGCGACGAGGAAGACCGCGTCCGGGAAGACCCAATCAGCATGGTATCCAGGGGAAGCTGCATGCTGACCGGGGTGGTCGGGTCCGCCTGCGACTGGCGGTACTGGGCGAAGTTCCGGGCCACCGTCATCGAGGTAGGCCCGCACCCGTCGGACACCATGAAAATCACCGCCCGCGGGGGGTGGGTGTGGTTCTTGGTCACCAGCACCACGGCCGCCACGATGGACCCGAGCACGGCCGCCACCAGGATCGAGGCGAAGGCATAGAACCAGAGGGAGCGGCGCCCGTTGGAGTTGACGCTCATGCTCTCGGCGTCGTCATCGTCATAGGTGCCGACCGGGTGGCTGGCGATGTCGTGCGTGGCGCCCGAGTCGAAGGAGGAGGTGTTGACCGAGGCATTCCCACCTGACGGGTGGGGCACCTGGTCGGAGCCAAGAAGAGGACTATTCTCCATGGCCGGGGGGATGGGCGGGCAGGGG